CCATTGCTCTGGCTGTCCCAGGCAGTCACTGCTAAAAGCATCAGATCAGTTCAGGATGTATTTTTTCCAGATATGGGGTAGGTGCAGGCCAGCAGTTCATTTTCAAGAGTTGTACTTTATAGGAACACGTGCCTTTGCAAAACCACACGTCCCACGTACTGGTGGCAAAGCTGCTTTTGCAATTTAAAAATCTTACAGTGGGTTACCACTCCACTTCCTCCTTGGTGGAGTTTGCACAGGCTTTTGTGTCACCGAGGTCCTTAATATATTTAACAGTCTCCACTACTAAATGTTCAGATTGCTGTCACGTTGCACTACTAAGTGGACACGGTAGTAGCAGTGAATATCCCTTGGACTTTTTTCCCTGCACATGAGTGATATCTATACAGGTTAAACTCCTAGAACTGGAATAACTGCTAGATAAAAAGGAATGGGAACATTTTTTTTTAAAAGCCCTGATAGATCTTGTTCTTTTTGCAAAATAGTCATAGCCATTTATTTTTCGGATGACTGAGTTCCACATCAGGCCCTCGGCGAGGTGGGAGCCCTCCGTCTGGGATTAGACTGGGCGGCCGCATCCTGCCCGGGCTGCAAAGTTTCTCCTACAGATGGCGCTGTTGCCTTGCGCTCCTGCCGCTCTGGCGGAGGGAAAGGGCTGTGATTATAAAACAAGAGGAAATCAAGCTGCACGCGCCAAGTGGGCCGCAGCGATTTTTATGTCTGTGCCGAGCCAGTTCAAATCTATGCTTCCTCACCTTCCTGGCTGTAAAACTCAGATAACTTTGTGATCCACCATTCTTCAGAAGGGGAAAACAATGTTATATTTAACCATCTTTTCTGAAATCGTTAGAAATTTGCACTGTGAAAACAAGTCTTTGAGAACTTCCAGCGGCGTGCGGTTGGTGTACTTCAGGGAGAAGAGATAATTCGGGGTTTAGCTTCATAGTTTTTTTCATTTTCTCTTCTTCGAAACAAACAAACAACACCCCCTCCACACACGCACCCCAGACACGCAGACTCTTGCTTCAAAGGGAACAAGGGACAGGGAGACCGGTGCGACCACCTTGCAGGTCCAGGGGCCCAGTGGGGTCTGGCCCTGTGCACCCTGGGGTCTCTCCTGGGGCAGGAGCCCGACCGAAGAGTGGGGACCACTGCCCAGCGGGCTTCCTGGGCCTTATCTGCCACGAGCACAGGGACCTCAGCATCTAAGTGGCGACCACAAAGCCAAGAAGTGTCGAGCTGCCCTCGCTCCGGCAGGAACCTTGGAACCAGGAACCAGGAACCTTGCTCATTCTGCAGGTAGTGCGAGAAAGCAGCGCTGCCCTGTCCTCGGGCCTCTGGTCCTCTCAGAGCGGATGGTCCCCTTGGTACAGAAGGCCGGGAGACGCCATGGTCCTGGTGAATCCCAGGGGAGGGAAGGGATTAAATTAGGAGCAATAGAGCTAAGCAGGGAGCAGTCCCCCCAGCAAGCCACTGCTTCCCCAGTCACCGGTCTCTGAGTGGGGTCCCGGCTCTTCCTCCTGTAGGAGGCTTGTGTTCGAAGGCTCAGACCTGGAAGGCTGCTGTGGCTGCAGTGTGGAGAGCTGCTTTCCTGTAACAGGTTTCTTCTACAAGTTACTCATTCTTATGGGATGGAGTAGTTCGCTGTTTCTCTAGCATTAAGGCCCGCATTAGTGAAGCAAGCTCTCTGGGAACCATGAAAACAACATCTCAAAGTGAAATCACACAGAAAATTGGACCGATTTTAGAGTATGGGTTGGGGCTGAGTATGCAGCCCCCAGGGACATTGAGCGGGCACCACATGTGGCTGGACGAGGCAGCCTAGAGCTCCTTCCAGCACCAAGTGAGGGACAGCACCCAGGGGACCTGAACTGGGTCGGGCTGGACCTGATGTCCAGAAGCCCAGGCTTGGTCACGTTCTCAGCACTTCGTGCAGGTTGCTCGTTCACCCCTCGCTCCGGTGTCCCACTCTGCGCCCATCCCGGGGACACCGGGCAGCTCTGAGGAGGTCACCCCTCAGCCTGCTGTGGGGGTCCAGGTGCCCCGCCCTCAGAGCTTCTGCTCACACCTGCTCACCTCTGGCACCTCCGTTCTGGAAGCTCGAGCCACATGTCCGAGGAAGGGGTTGCGCTCTGGTGCCACCCAAGTCCCTGCCCCTCCACTTGGCTGCCCTGCTCTGGCTCTCACGTTGGGAAGAGGTCAGCAGACGGAGGTTCCAAGCGCCCCTTCTCCGGGCTCACACTCTCACGGTGGGATTTCTTGTTATCTGAGTGTCCCTGTCTTCCTTCTGCCATACCCTTTCCCTTCTATCTGTGGCGTCTCCTGCACCTTGAAAGCCATTTCTCTGGGGCTCCTGTGGGGTAATCAGGCTCATAGGAACGGCTCCCGCCTGCTCTTGTTGCCCTCTGACTCCTTCTCCTGAGCCCGCCCCACCATCAACACTCTCCATACCATTGATGCTGGAGAGTTTCTATACCAGGATGGAAGATAAGTACTCCTCTGCCTGGGAAGCAGTGGTGCTGTGCTCTGTCCCTAATCTGCAGTCCGAGTCTTCTTCCTCTTCTCGCTCTTGAGGTGGTGGCTGCCTAGATCCCCTGCAGAAAGACTCCAAGGCCAGGTCAGGCTTCCTGGACATCAGGGCTTCCTGGAGCTCAGGGCTGTGGTTGATTAGTAATGTCTGCCCAGGGCACAGGCCTGGTGAGTAGGGACATATCTGCTGGTCTCTCGAGCATGCTGTGCCTTTGGGGAAGTTTGAATTTTGCAAATGTTTCTTTTTAGTGTGTGATGTCTCCCCGTTTCAATCACCTTGCATATCCTGCGCCATCCTTTAAGGCTGTCTTCGGCAGAAGTCACCCCTTGGAAGCTGCAAGTGACCTCCCCACACGCTGTGTCTCCACTTGCTGCCCCAACCCTTTGTGTACCTGCTTGGTGGCCCTTACTTCACTGCCCTGTGATCACCTGAGTGCCCTTCCTGAAGGCACTGGGGTCCCTGAGAGCAGAGAGGGTTTTGGAAATGACATATTCCCAGGACCTGGCACATAATCAGTATTCAAAAATGAGTGTTGGATTTTGCAAATCCACATCCTTCATATCTGCCGTTAAAATCAGCACAGGATAGCACAATTAAATGGGGTTCTTATTTAACTGTACAAAAGGTTTCTTTCACCTGGCTCAACTTTCATGAACGAGTAAAGAGAAAGAAATTAAAATGTAGAGATAGCAGGATTAGGTTGAGGAAAAGAAATTAACTGTCAGTAGCTTCAGGAATTGGCCTTGCGTCAGCTTACACATGGTGGAAAAGGCCCTACTGTGCGCTGGGCATGGTGGCAGGTCGTCTTGTGTCTGAGGATAGGTGCCTGGCGTTGGCATGGTCTCGGAGCTCCAGTGGGAAGCTGGGATGGACTGGACCCTAGAGGACAGGGCCTGAGTGCCGTGTATGAATATGTGGAGGGAGCGAACTGCATCTGCCCCTCTTGGGTACCTGCTTGCTCACATGCACCATGGAGGAGACCAGAGCAATACTGGTTGCATTCACTGCATGCTTCTCTTGCTACAAATAACTCCATTCACGTTTCAGCCACTCCAGAAGGAAGCTGCTGCTGTTGTCCGCACTGCACAGATGCAGAGACGGAGGGTCTGGTACCAGTGGGCCTGTTACATTTGCTTTGGGAAGGCCGGGCTGAGGATTCAATGAAACGCACCACAGGAAGTGTCCTTGGCGGCCACCCCGTGGTCACTGTTATCCATTCACTTGGGGTCCTGGCCGGGGACCTGGCGAATCATGCCTGGGGAGCCAGTGCCGACAGGGTCCAGTGGAGACAGACCCCCCTCCAGTGGCGATTCAGACTGTGCCCTTCGCCCCCAGCAAGTCTGCTGCGGTATTTATGTCGTCTGTTTTCTTTCTCAAACACTTAATGCTGTGCACATCTGTCTCGTTCACGGCAGAGGAAGTTCTCTGACAACAAGGGACATATGTTTTTCATCTGCCCCATGTCTGGTGAGATGCTCTCCAATTTTGGAAGAATCAGAAGACAATTTTAACTCCATCCTCACAGCCCGGGTATTGAGGCACACAGGAGGGAACCCTACCTTCTTCAGGAACTAAATCCATGACGCATGCATTCACCAAGCTCCGACGGTGGGCCACCCTCTCAGGAGCACAGGAGGTGGATGCCCCGCATCCCTGGTCCTGGCAGGAAAGTGGGTCCTGTGGTCACTGGTCTCTGGGCGTTGTTCTTCCTCTGCTGTGGATGAATTCTGAGCCCAGGCCCCCTGCGAACGCCTCCACGACTGCACCGCTGGAGTGTGGCTGCCAACGTCCACCAGCTGTGGGGTGGGGTGATGGGGGTGGTGGGGAGGCTGCTGGGGAGGTGGCCGGCAGGTGGACAGAAGACAGAGGGTGTGAAAGTGGAGCTGTGTACCAGCTCCTCCTCCTTTGTCCCCACTCCAGACGCCTGGGGCACTTTTCTGTCCTCCCAGCACAGTTGCTGAGCTCTATGGAAAATCTTTGAGCAGAAAGAATGCAGAGGACCCTCCCAGTAGGCCAGACCCTGCTCTTGCTTCAGGTGCTCTGGGTAATTTGCCACTCAAGGAAGTGCTGTACAGGTGGGCTGTACACTGTGCTGATCAAGGTACTCGTGTGATTCTGAGCCCATGGCACACGGAGGGAGTCCTTTCTGTGACGGCATCTTTTATGGTTTAAATATGGAGAATTCCCCAAAGACCCACTTACTGACAGCTTGATCAGCAACGTGGCAATGTCAGAGACGGAGGTGAGGGAGCTCATTGGATCATGAAGGCATTAACCAGTGGGTCCGTTCGTTGATGAGTTCAGAGCTGAATGGGCCGGTGGGAGCCTGGGGCTTTGTTGGAGAAGTGAGGTCACAGAGAGTGTAGCCATGAGGGGCGTCGTCTGCTCCTGCCCCTGCTTCCTGGCTGCAGTGAGGCGGGCAGCTTCCTTGCACCGTGCTCTCCACCATGATGCCTCTTCCTCCCCGTAGGCTAAAGGCAGTGGATCTGCTGACCATGAACTGAAACCTCTGAAAGTGGGAGCAAAAATAAACCTTCCCTCTCTGAAGCTGTCAGACATCTTGTCATGATGATGGAGAGCTAACAGCGTTACTAACTTCACAACTTCGGGTAAGTTAATCTTCATTCGTGTCTCCAGTGTCTCATGGGTGTGGAAAGTGGGGTGAATACTAATCCTCATCTCTGGAGTTATGGAGAGGACAGAAGGACCCCAAAGTTCCTACCAGACACCATCCTTGCTGCTGCCCCAAGGGCTGCTCAGGCCCCTACTGTGGTGCAGGGTGGCCCTTCCTCCTGCACTTGGCTGCCTCTTTTGACTGCTTGGGAAACGTTCACAAGACACAGAATCTTAGCCTGCAGCCCCCCAAAAAAGAAGACAGATCTCTACATGTCATTGTGGAACGGTCTCCAAGATAGGCAACTCAGGAGCAAAGCAAGGGAAAGGCTGGAGAGAGGGGCTTGTGCCCGTGTAAGCTCTGGCTGTTTCCAGAAGAAGGGGTCACCTGGGACCGATCACGGAGGGGCCCCCAGGAAGGCTGAAGAGACAACTTTTAATTTTGCTCTATTTTATTTAATTAAAAAATTGTAGCAAGAGTTCGTGTACATGCAGCTTTCTAGACTGCTACACTTCTCTGCCAACTCATCATTACTGTGGGATGTGGTTTTCCTGAGGTTCCCATGGATTCAGAGTTCCTGCTCTGTGGTTGGAAGGACAGCCTGGGCGTCCGTGAGGCAGACCCAGGCCCAGTCTTGCAGTAGCTGTCATTTAGGGTTTGTTGGACTGGCTCGAGTTGTGGAAAGGAAACTGAGGCAGATGCCTTAGACTGGCCACCAGGACCGCTGCCCCCCGCACCCCCCCCGCGCCTTTTCTGTCCTCTGCTTTAGAATCCTGAGTGTTTGGGAGGAGCCACATGTGAGCACAGGCGTTCTGGGAGGTTGCAGAAAGCTGGGGTTGGAGGAGCAGCAGAGCATATCTCAGTGCTCCCCTTTTCTTCCTCCTCTCATCCTGAACATCTTCGTGGTGTCTGGAGCCGTGGGAGCCTCCCACAGTCCAGGCAAGGAACGTTAGACAAAGACAGCAGGAACCCCCTCCGGGCTCTTGTCATGCTGGTAAATGAACCCCTTTGTCCTGAAGTCAGTGGACCTTCCTGGTATTTCTTGCTAAAAGGGACCTGTGATGTGGGTGCAGAACTAGGGCAGCCAGAGAGTTGGGCTTTAGCTGTGGCTCTGTTTCTGACGTGCTGAGTGGCCTCAGGTTTTGTTTTTTTTCCTGCTCTCTGATCTCCAGTTTAACAACCTGGAAAGAGTGGGGGAAGGAAATGACACCATGATCTTCAGATGTGCTGCTAGGGAGGTAACTGGGGGTGACACCCTACTGTTCCCTGGAGAAGTGCCTTCTCCACCCATCTACCTCGTGTAAGAGGAGGCGAAGAGAAGGCATCTGTGCTCAGAGAGGCAGAAAATCACCCATGTGAAGAAGAGCAAGGACCCCAGAAGATTACCGGGTGGGAGACTGACTCGGAAGTAGACAGGAATTGGCTCAGGTTCAACCCAAGGTTGGGGCTTGGGAAAGAGTGGCCCGGACCAGAGCTGTGTGGAAACCGAGCCCCGTCTGCTCGCCACGTGTCATCTCTGCTGCTCTCACGTCCCCAGGACAGAGCAGGGATGAACTCTTGGCTTCACCACCTGGCCCCTTCCCGGCACCTGCTAGCTGGGACCTTGACACTCGGAACCAGCTGTGGCCTTGGCAGTGGCTGAACACAGGGGAGAGGAGAGCGCGGCTCCAGCCTCTCTTGTGGGAGGTCGTTCCTGCCACCCTCCCGGGGCTTCTGTCAACCCACTCCCTAGACCTGTCCCACTTCTTTTTGTCACAGCTTTTCACCCCCCGAGGGCATAGGACTTGCTGTTTGGTTGCTTCCTTGTCGGCTGCCTGTGCGGAAACCTCGGGCCCTCTGTTTTCTTCCCTGTTGTGCCCCAGTTGGGCAGGGCCTGGTGGTAGCAGGTGCTCAGGGCACGCTCCTTGTATAAATAGCACACTCTGGGCTGCTCTTTAGCTACAAGGGCCCCGTTTCCAGTGACAGGAGTCTGACTTTGCCCCAGCTCCCTGGGGCTGTGGGAGCTCTGCTTTAGGAGAGGAGCGAGACCTCCGGAGGACTGGACGGCACTGGCTGGTGCAGGATGCTGAGGGACTACAAAATAGCAAATTGACTGCCTTTGGAGTGTTCACCCAGGGCTACCTAGCGATCTATTTCCCGTGACCTTCTCACATGACTTCCTTGGATGATGTCTTCCTCCGTGTCCTGGGCCTTTATGGTTCTGAGTCTGTATCTTACACTTCTGGGCATCTTTCTTCCTTTCTCCCAGAACTCCATGCTCAGCGCACAGCCTGGCACCATGGAGGAGCTGGGGCAATAACTTGGACCTTACACATCTTGGTGGTGGTGGAACGCTGCTTACACTTAAGTGCTGGTGTTGCATTCTGGGGAAAGCAGGCCGGAACCGGGCACGACTGGGTGCAAAGCCACCTGCCATGGCTGCTTGGCTCGAAAAGCCCCACCTACATCGGCGGTCACATTCTGTCTGAGCGTACAGATTCATCAACACCGTGACTACCGTTTCCAGAAGAGCTCTTGCTGAAATTCTGTAATGATATGTTTAGGTTGCAGAACATCACCTCTGGGAAAGAAGATGAATAGCTTTAAGAAATGTGCTCCCTCCTTCTGACCTCTGCAAACCCCGACCAGATGATGAAGAAAGATGACTCGACCTGGATGCACCTTGCAGGAAATGTTCCACTTCTCAGGTACTTATCCAACCAGCGTCCACCTGGTGCAGTGCATTAATGCTGAATATTTCTTGTGATATTTTCTGGCTGATAATATTTTTCTTCCAGGTTCTCTATAAACACTAAAGCAACACCGACCCAAAGGGCATTTTTTCCCCCTCTTGGAAGTGTTTTCATTGTCTGGGTTCTTAACTGGGCGATGTGTCTAGTTCACGTGATCTGGGAGGCGTGGGGTTCAGTATTTGAAAGCACATGTTGAATTTGAAGTTCGGGTCCCAGTCGCCCGGCATAGGCTGATGGGGGCTGGAAGTCCGGAGCTCTGGTTCTCGTGGGGCTGCGCCTCAGCCCCAGGATGAGAAGTGTCAGTCTCCTGGCATTTTCTCTTCTGGCGAGAGAACAGACTTCCAGCATTGGAACTGACAGTGTGGGAAGGGCGATGTGTTCTTGTGGGGCTGTAATGTTTGAAGCAAGATGCTGATAATCGCCCCCCGATTAGTTGTCAGTAGCGTCCCCCATGGTGACAGCCGGACTGCCTTCAGCACTGCTAAGTGTCTCCAGGGCTCAAAGCTAAACTTGTCCCTGGGTTTGTCCTTGCTGGGATGCTAGGGGATGGTTCAGAGCACATCCAACCTGTGCATGCCCTTCTCTCAGAGGCTGAGTTAGTCCCAGGGCCGTGCACTTCACTGCTGAACACGGCTTCCTGGGAAAACAGAGCCCTGCATGCACAAGCGCTGGACAGGAGCTGACCTCCCTCCATACCCGTCCAGCTGACACCTGTGTCCCTTCCCCAGTAACCAGATCCTGACTTGAAATGTCATAGACCAGCTTTGTCTGGGTAGGGGGACTTTCTCTGATGCAGCCCTGCTTAGGCACTGTGCCAGTGTCCGGCTTCTTTGTGACCTCACATTATGCACACCAACTGTTCGCTTGTTTTCAGTGCTGCACAGTTTTCTATGATGTGGACACACAGTGATTGGTCATGCATGCTGCTGGTGACTGGCCTTTGGGAGGCAACATTCGCACTACTGTGAACGTATTTGTGTGTGTTGGTGAATGTATAGACACACCTTTGTTGGGTATACACCCAGGAATGTGGTTAGGGGTTGTAGGGCATCACCTGCTTGGCTGTAGGAGAGGATGCCATATACGGTACTCCTGCAGAATAATGACAACAATAATACAAAAAGCCCTACAGCTCTGCAAGAAAGTCAGTGAAAAAGGTAACAGTGTCACACAGGAAGACGTTTAACTATCACATCAGCGTCTACTGCAGGTGCTTAGCAGCTTGGACACCTAACCAAGGCACACAAGCCTCAGAGCCTATGTGCTGCCTCTCCCGGAGCCCCAGCAGCCGGTGGCAGGAGCAGGAAACGGTGCAGCCTGCAGAGTCTGCTTTGGGGGTTGTAGGCTCACAGAGAGGCGATAGTGCAAGGCCAAACACTTTCTATTTGTAAAAGCAAGGTTTTATAGGAGCACAAGACACAAAATAAAGGGTTTGTGTCGGCCAGAAAGGCTCAGTACCGTCTCCTGTGTGGGAGTCATGCTGAGCCCAGCGTCTGGTCCCCCTAGGTGGGCACATCAGGAGCGAGAGCCACAGAGGGAGGAGATCAAGCGTCCCGTGAGCTCCAGGAGCACAGGGCAGAGGCCAGGCAGACAGCAGAGGCTTTGCCTCTGCTTTGCGGAACTCTGGGACCTCAGGAGCTAGTGTGGTCCCGAGGGGATTGGGGCCCCACTTCCTCGGAGCCAGCACAGGCCTCGAGGAACATTCTGGAGCTTCCCCAGGCCCTGAGGGTAAAGTGGGAAGTGCAAGACTGAGGAGCCAGAGAGCAGGACCTTCAGGGCAGGCAGGGGATGCAAGGGGGCTGCAGGGTCCTCAGAAGCCTGAAGGAAATGGCACTCCAGGAGCATCCAGCAGCCAGACTGTGGGAGTAGGTGGCTGACGGACAGAGGCTGATCCTGCCCAACTCAAGGGGCAGGAATAGGAGGGCGAAGCCTGGGGGGTTGCTTGTGCACCAAGGACCAGGGCATGAGATAAAAATGCCCATGCATAGTAACCAGAGACCTTGTGCCCGCTAGCCCGGAGTTATCCCTGGGCGTGGGGCGGGGCCACCTTGCATGGCGGCACGAGTGGGAGGCCTCGGCCAGGAGACCAAGGCCCTGGTGAGGATCCTCAGGTCTGCCACTTCAGTGGGCTCTTTGGTTACGCAGCACAGGGGCAGAGGAGCCTGCGACCACACTCCTCAGCCCGCTGTCGTCGAGCAGGGACAGCTGTCTCGTGCTGCTCAGCCATGGTCCTCCTGCCTAGGAAGCAGGCCCAGCCGTAGGCAAGGAGAGCGCTTGTCACAGAGCTTTCTCTGAAGAGGAAAACAAAATTAAACATACGACGTGTGTATGCTGTAACAATGGGGAATTTATTTGAAAATATTAATTACGAGTTACAGTGTTTGCTGTGAAGGTTTAAATTTTTAAAAGATCCTATAAAAAGGGAAAGAAAGGAGTACACATAGGATAAGTCGGAAATAAACAGTGGACATTTAGCATAAGGCTTTTGCATGTTTTCTCTTTGGCTGTATATTTCTTTACTTAAATTTTGGAATAATGCGCGGAATGTTTTGAAACCCTCCTTCCGTTACAATGCATGGTGAAGGTTTTCCCGCGTGGCTAAACGTCTGCCTTCAATGCTGTGTTGTTTGCGGGAGTTCCGTGGGGCTCTGAGTGGGGCCCACAGATGCAGGAGAAGAAAGGGGTGAGCGACGGCAGGGTGTGCAGGATCCAGGATTGTGCACACAGGGCAGCTCCCACTGCTCCTCCAGTGGGGCTGTCACCCCCGTGTCCTCCCAGCCAGCTCTGCACAAACCTGCTCTCTGCACAGGGCTTTCAGCTGGCTACTGCAGGCGACACGTGGAAAGCACATCTCTCATTATTCTCCTTTGCATTTCCCCCGACCCTCAGGAAGTGGGACGTATTTCCTGTGTGCTTCCCCCATTTCCTCTTGTGTGACCTGCCAACTTTCCTACTGGCCTGAAGGCATTTCTCGTCTTACTTCTCAGGAGTGCTCCATATATGCCAGATACGGTTTCTTTGCCAACTGTATGCATCGCAGACAGATTTAAAGTCTAGAACTTGCTTTCCTGTTGCTCGTGGTGTCTTTTGTCAAAGAAAAACATTAGTGTTTTGGAAAGTTAAATGGATCGCTCTGTTCCTTTCCCCAGTTTGCTCTGTGGGTCTCATGGGGAACCTGAGCTCCTGTGATCCTGTGGCTCAGCAGAGTGGCCTCTCGGTGGACAGTCGTATGTGGCTGGGCTGTGGCTGCTGCTCCAGGACGCCCCAAGTTCCCCCTCTGACCCTTGTGAGGTTTTTATTTATAAAACGGGAGTAATTTTGTATCTATGTCCTTGAATTATTTTATAGATTTAATAGAAATAACTCGGTAATGTCCTCAAAAGAGGAGGTGTTTGATTATTATTATTGCTCTGATGGTGCTAGTTTTTGTTTTAGTTAATGTTTTCATTTTAAAGTCACGTGTTTTATTTTTTTTTGTGGGTGTGGTGCAGATATGACCTGAGTATTTCCATGTGGCTGCTAAGTGTCCCCAAATCATTGCTGAATCACTCATGTATCCACCGATTTTAATGCTGCTTCCCTTACGTGTCAGCTTCACAGACACTGCCTCCCACGCTGCCCCATTCTGCTGTTCTGATTTCCCATCCCCAGGAACAGAATCTGTGTTTCATGCGGCAGGGCCTTACTTTCCAGGAGCAGAGCACTCAATACTCCCTCCACACTTTTCTCCAACGTTCCCAGCGTCAGCCTCTACCTCAGGCATCCATGATGGTGACAGAGACTGCTTGTCACGCTCTGTGAATGTCCTGCGTCCCACAAATGGGACTGGCACGTCAGGCTCACCACGGCTCCCATCAGGATGGGGTCACCCTTGGTTGTCTTATTATCAAAAATGTTCGGTTTGCTGGACCATCAGCCAAGAAGCACTGCCCCCAGCAGTGAGAGCAGGTCCTCCCATGCTCTGTGGACAGAGAGGTTCAGAGCTGGGTCCCCAGACACATCCGCCTGGTCCTGAGATGCTGGGACCTCCCTACCGCATGGGCGTGTTCAGCTTTTCCGCCGTTTGCTGGGCGAATCCTTTTGGTCTTGCCTCACTTTGTTTGCCTACTTGGCCAAATTCCTGCCCTTGTTCTCTCCATCTTTTCACCTCCATCTTTTCTGGTGTCCTTACAGCTCTCAGAAGCAGCAGTAGGTGGGCAAGTTCCATCTCTGAGTTTCTGTCTCCCATCTGCAGTTCTCCGTCAATATACTGTAATTACTGATGAATCTGAGTTTGGTTCTGAACTGTAATTTTGTGTTATTTATTCTGTTTTTAAAATATTTTTTTCTTTTCAGTCTCTGATTGCAGGCTGAGCACTCGTTCAAGGTTTCTTTCCTCCTTACTTCCCTGTACTGGCATGGAAAGTCTCATTCTGTTGCAATTCTTCCAGCCCTCAGTTCTCATGGAAGTTACAGAGAAGCGCCACCATGCCCCAAATCAACATGAAGTCATTTGAACCTTTAAATTGGCTCACCCACCTATTTTCAATAATATTATGGTTTTGAAACATTATTATAGCCCTCGGATCACCACTCTCCTCTATGGCTGTAACCCCTCATTCTGGTGCAGATAAAATTGGCAACTATGTCCCATAGATACAGTTCTCTGCTCTCTCAAGATTCACAAGACTCTGGTTCTGTAATGCTTTGGGTCTAGATGTCCCCTCAAAGCCTTATACGGTCCTAGGTGGCTTTTTCAGAGGTGGCTTTTTCAGGAGTCTGTGATGCTGGCATCAAGAGCATATGATTACTAAGCCAGTTGACTGATTGCTTTGGCAGCACCTGAATCCCGGTGGTCTGGATAAGATAAAAAGGGCAGAAAGTTGCCGTTAACGTCCCTTATTGCTTGTGCTATCGTGTGGGCTCCATGAACTGTTTCTCCTCGTGATGGCTCTCTGCCATGTACAATTCTGCCA